TAATAATAATAATGATAATAATGATAACAGTAATAATGATAAAATTAGTAGTAATAATACACGTAATTATAATAATGACCAGTAATTACTAATAACCCTGTACCTGTCATAATCCATGATGGTGTTGAGTCTGTGGGCGATGGTGATGATGGTGCAGTGGTCGAACTCTTCCCTTATGGTGTCCTGGATGAGACGGTCAGTCTCCATGTCCACTGCCGCTGTGGCCTCGTCCAGGATCAAGATTCTTGTCTTCTTTAGGAGCGCGCGGGCGAGGCAGACCAGCTGACGTTGACCAACACTGGCGGAGGTTTGTGGGGAGGGGGGAGGGGGGGGGGTAGGTACTCTTTAGTTGATCGCTATATCGCAATACTTACATTCTTGTGTGTTAAAAACACAGTTGTTTTGTTTTTAATTTTAACAATTTGTTAGTTTTTGTTTGTTTGTTTGTTTATAATACATTGTTTAGTTGTTGTTGTTGTTGTTGTTGTTGTTGTTGTAGTTGTTGTCAATGCTGTAGCTGTTTCACGACCACATCGGCACAATTTAGATCATTTAGACAGCTGGCTTCGACATAGCCTGTCAGGGCCAACCCGGGCTGATAGGGATACAACATCCGAGCAGAAAGACCGAGATACTCGATAAGAATTTTTTCTCATTTGGGAATCGAACCCGAGTCACCTGTGTGCGATAACGAAGCGCCTATCCACTACACCACCGACGCTGATACAGGCTCGTGTTTTATTTGAGGAAAAGGAAGTACGTCGACGTAATAATGGCCATTTTGTGCTGTAAAATCCTTCCAGGTAGACAGAAACAGATAAAGAAAAGTTAAGATGTAGGACCTATAAGTGACGCCCTCTAATCACCCATTCATATATATTCATGATTTCAAGCTTGTGTTATTGTTTTTGTTTTTTTACAATAGAGGGTTTTACGGCGCTCGCAACTGCATAAGGTCATATGAGCGTCAAGGGGTTGGTGTCAACAGATAAGTCTATACAGGGAATCAGACTTATTCAGCTCACTTCACATCACAAGGTCTGCTTCGACTATCAAGGCACCCCGGAAATAGCGGGTCACAAGAGTGTGACAAACATACAAAAGAAGTAGAGGGAAATGACAATAGTAAGGATCAGGAAAGAAAAAGCAGCAGTTCCCTGTTGTAGATCAGGCACAGTTATGAGCGTGATATGAGTCAGCCCATTTACAATTATACTATGCTTGA